GCCAAAGGGTTACAGAATCAAGACAATATAAGACAGGTATGCAGAGCAATCTGCATTCTGAAGCTCTGGCTGGATCCAGAAATAAAACCTAGGATATTGGTAGGGGAGAGCGTATCCTTTACGTTAAGAGAAGTAGCAGAATGGCTCATTTCAGACGACATTTTTTTTTTTTTTTTTGAGACAGAGTTTCCCTCAGTCACCATGCTGAAGCGGATGGCTCAATTTTGGCTCACTGAAACCTCCACCTGCTGGGTTCAAGCGATTCTCCTGCCTCGGCCTCCCAAGTAGCTGGGACTACAGGCACAAGCCACCACACTCAGCTAATTTTTGCGTTTTCAGTAGAGACGGGGTTTTACTATGCTGGCCAGGATGGTCAGACATGAAATTCTTAAAGGCTAATATCACACAGCTAGCCAGGCCTGGTGGCTCATGCCTGTAATCTTGCACTTTGGGAGGCTGAGGCAGGTAGACTGCTTGAACTTGGGAGTTCAAGACCAGCCTGGGCAATGTGAAATCTGGTCTCTGCCAAAAAAATTCAGAAATTAGCCAGCTGTGGTGGTGAATACTTGTAGTCCCAGATCCTCGGGAGGCTGAGGCAGGAAGATTGCCTGAACCTAGGAGGTGATTGTGCCACTGTACTCCAGCCTGGGTGACAGAGTGCGATCCTGTCTCAAGAAAAAAAAATAAAAACCTACAAACAAAAAACCTGTGTGAATTTGGCATTGACTTTTTAAAATCTGTGTTAATTTTTAGAAAATAATTTTAATTATTTACCACTGGGTCAAAGTGATGTTGCAGTAGAGCACATGATTTATTTTGTGGCTGAAGGGACCCCCATGCATATTCTCACTAATGTCAGGGCATATAGTCAAGTGGTAAATTAACTTCTACATATGGAAACTTGGAGATGGTCTAAAAAGGACCACACTAGATAACAGAGTAGATTAGTATGTAGCAGGGGTCCCAACCATCAGGCACTCCGAATTTCTCACCTGTCCCTAAAGAAAGGGAGTGTGGCAGGAGAAAGGCAGGTTTTCTGGGGCCAAGTGCAGTCTTTCTTGTTTTATAGCCAGAAAAGAGCTGCCACAAGGTGGAGCAAAGTCACAGAGAACCAGTGTGAGAGCCAGAACCAGGGTTACCTGTCTCCCAAACTTGGGTCACCCTGGCTTTCTGAATTTAAAATCACAAGTATTCTCCATACCCAACTTTGCAGACTGAAATGGCCTCTTAGCTATGGGAAAGATAAAGAAAACCTGAAAAGATAAAATTATGGAAAGACTGGTGGGCGTGATGGCTCATACCTGTAATCCCAGCACTTTGGGAGGCCTAGAAGGGCAGATCACCTGAGGCCAGGAGTTTGAGTCCAGCCTGGCAAACATGGTGAAACCACATCTCTACTAAACATATAAAAATTAGCCGGGTGTGGTGGTGTGTGCCTGTAGTCCCAGCTACTCGGGAGGCTGAGGAAGAGAATCATTTGAACCCAGGAGGCAGAAGTTGCAGTGAGCTGAGATCATGCCTCTGTACTCTAGCCTGGACAAGTGAGACTCTGTCTCAAAAAAAAAAAAAAAATTATGGGAAGACTAATAGACTTGTTAATTACACTGAATAGCTGGATCAGAAAAGAGATCCATCAATAGAAACCCATGACTTAGTCACACATATTTTACTTATTTGAATTTACTTCACAAGTTTAAATGAATCATAAGTTCATAGGAAGCAGAATGGACAATTGGAAAGAGTACCCGCTTTGGAAATAGGCAGATGTGAACCAGAATTCCGACACTGCCAGGCCAGACTTTTACTTAACCTTCTGAGCCTCCAGATTCTCATCTGTAAAATGAGGACAATGGTGTCCACATGTAGGATTCTTCTGAGAATGTATGCAAAATTCTTACCTTAGTGAGTATATCCCATCTTCAACAACAATAAAATGGTGGCCTACTAATGATGACATTAATATTCAATACATTTATTGACTGTGTATTGGGCACCATAATAAAATTAAAGATGTAATATTATCTCTGATCTTTATTCTTTGTAGAAATGAGGTCTTGCTGTGTTGCTGAGGCTGGTCTTGTACTTCTGGACTCCAGCAAACCTCCCACCCCAAAGTGTTTAGATTACAGGCTATCTCTGATTTTTAGATAGCTTTCTATTAAGAAGAATAAAACTGAGATACTAATAATAAATAAAACTAATATTCACTGGATGTATATCACGGCCTACAAATACTTCTAAAGGTTTATACCAATAAATGCTTATAACATCCCCAGTACTTAGGTATTAACCAATTTTACAGGTGAGGATAGTTTGAAACCTATTTTGTAAAGTAGGGCCTAGAGAGAAATAGCAATTTTTACCAGATCCCTTAGCAAACAGCAGATTTAGGGTTCACTTCTGGGCACCCTGTCTCTGGGGCTTGTTTGTACCACACTGGTTTAGGTCTAGACTCAGGCAACAATTCATTTTTAAGCACTGCAATATCTGCTCTCAACTTGTGTTTCCCAGGTGCAAATATGAAACAAATCCCAACACCACCATGGATATATATGAATCCCATTTAGATGTGACTATGATTATCACCTAAGTGGTGCCTGGTCTCTCTTTCTCCATGGCTCACCTATCCTTTCACACTGCCAACAGTTATCTTTATAAAACACAAATCTGATCGTGACACTTCTCTACTTAAAAGGCTCCCTGCTGTCTGCAGAACCGTGTCCAAGATCTCAGCATGGCACAGGAGGACTCTCCCAGCTGGCCCTAACCTTCCTTTCCAGCCTCTGTTTTGGACTTTCTGGCTCTTCAGCATACACTCACATAAGACAGCTCTACATGAAAAAAGGGCAGCTAGGGGTGCCATAGTATAACCTCCTGTGTGGTAAAATGAAAAAACCTTGAAAAAATTGACATTTGTTTCTTTACATATATTTTGCTGTCGTAAAGTAAAAAGACTTCCTAAAAATTATATTTTAAAACAGCAGTGCAATTAACAATGTGTACACACTGTCAGCTGACACATACATATGCATATATTAAATTTTTTTGTTATTTTTCACCATCTATCAGAGGTCTGGTATCTTAGTGGAAGATATCTTTTCACTCTATTTGCAATTCCTCTGGAATGTAACACTCTTCCTTTTCCCTGGAATGCATCCCTTTTCCTCCCTAAGGTTGCCAGCTACTTACTATTCATCCTTTAAATTCAGCTTAAATACCGCTCCTCTGCGAACTCTTACTTACACCCAAACCTCTTATGCAGTTTGTTTTTCCAACCTCGGTGCTCCCAAGACTGGGTGTATTTCTCTCTTACAGCATTATTGTTCTGCTTGTAATTATTTATTTATACAACAATAGACTGTATGATCCTTTCCGGAAGTCTTAATCTCTGAATCCCTAGTTCCTAGCTTGGTGTTTGGCACACAGTTAAGAACGGGAAAGCTGATCACTGAATACGTGAAGAAATGATCAAAGTCTAAAAGTTCCTGATTTCTTTAAATCTTGCAGGGAAAACACTTGATAGGGGACACACCTTTGAACACCTCATTTAGATAAATCAGGCCCATAATACTTGAGAATTGATTTGAAAGGGGTCAAGAGGTAAGCGTGAATCAAAAAGGTAACAAAACCAGGCATGGTGGCTGATGCCCATAATCCCAGTGCTTTGAGAGGCTGAGGTTGGAGGATCTTTTGAGGCCAGGAGTTTGAAACCAGCCTGGGCAATATAGCAAGGCCTCATCTCTACAAAAAAATAAAAACAATAAAAAAATTTTTACAAGGCTGGCAAAGATGGATTTAAACTACTTAAATCCAGTACCTGAACCATGCAAGGATGGCAAGGTAAATTCTTCGTTCCATTTTTCAACAATACAGTAGAGTTTGAGACCAGCCTGGACAGAAGGGAGACCCCCATCTGTACTAAAAACAAACAAACAACAAAAAGAGACTACATGCGATAGATTTTGTAAAAGGTATCTATGAAAAACATGGCCAGGCACCGAGGCTCATACCTGTAATCCTACCACTTTAGGAGGCTGAGGTGGGCAGATCACTTAAGGTCAGGAGTTCAAGATCAGCCTGGCCAACATGGCAAAAACCCCGTCTCTACTAAAAATATAAAAATTAGCCAAACATGGTAGCAGGTGCCTGTAGTCGCAGCTACTTGGGAGGTTGAGGCAGGAGAATTGCTTGAATCTGGGAGGTGGAGGTTGCAGTGAGTTGAGATCATGCCATTGCACTCCAGCCTGGGTGAAAGGGAGACTCCAACTCAAAAAAAAAAAAAACCCCAAAACCAAAACAAAACAAAACCCCAACCGTTAAAGTACTAAATGCAATGTGGTATCCTACGTTGGATCTTGAAACGGAAAAAAACGATACCAGGGGAAAAAACTGGTAAAATGGGAATAAAATCTGGAGTTTAGTAAATAAATAAGCTAACAACACCCTAAGTGTGACCTGTCCCCGTGCCATCGCTTTCCCACCATCCTAGCCTCCCTAGTACTTGTAAGAACAGAGGATATGAAGTTCAAGGTGGTTGTTTTTCTCAGTCTCGATTGAAGAGCTTCGTGCTCTTTGGATTAACAACCAGGTCATTCACAACTCTGTGTTCAGTTTTTCTATCGGGGTCCCCAGTCTAGGAGTAACATCCCTTTCTGTCATGGAGACATCCAACTCTGGACTTCCCCTTTAGATTCTGGCAAAAGCCCCACCAGGGCCCCCTCCAGAGCCCGAAGGCGGTCCCTTGGGTCGGGAAGGGGTTTTCCTGCCCCTAGAGCCGCGACCAGAGACAGCGGCTGAGCTGAGCGTCGGCGGAGGGAGGTGCGGGGGGCGCCGCCCACGGCCTCCTAGGTTCTGCGCGCGGGGCTGGGCTGCGGTTGGCCACAAGAGGCATCCATCTTCCAGGACCAGCCCCGCGTTTCCTCGCTGAGCAGGGGCGGGGGCTTGGGCGGAGAAGGGCACGGCCCGGAGCGCCGTCAGCTCCCGCGAGTCCCGCCCAGCCCGGAGAAGACCCGAGCTGCCGCCCAGGCCGCCGCCGCCCGCAGATTGTTCGCCTGGCGCCGCAAACGCGCGAGCCGTTTGCGCACCCACAACTTTGCGCCGCCGGGGGCGCGGCTCCCTCGTGTGTGTGCGAGTGTGCCTGTCACCAGCGGCCTCCTGGGGGCAGCAGCGGAAAGGGAGACGCGGAGAAAAGCAGCCTCGGCGCCCCGCGGCCAGGGAGGCAGAGGCCCCTCGCGGCGCCTGCTCTGGAGACCTAAACTCCGCCGGAGCTGTGCCCAGGGCGCGTCTGAGCGTCACCGCCTTCACTCTTCCAGCAGCCGCGGGGACTCGCGTTTGGACTGCTCTTCCTTTCGCCTGCCGGGCTGTAGCAGCTGTGTCTGCGGGCGGAGGAGCGGCGGCCGTGGCAGCAGCATCCCCGACCCGGGCGGGACCATTGAACGCCGGAGTCGGCGACTGGAGGCAGGAAGGGAGGGTCGTGGCGCCCGTGCTGGGCGCGTTCCCGGCGCCTGCCCTCGGCCGCTGGCCCTGTCCCGGGCGCTCGGTGCGGGTCTCGAACAATGGTGTGGAGCGCCGGCGCGAGCCCCGCGCCCGCCCAGCGGTGGTAGAGGAAGTGGCTGGGCTCCCGGCGAGGTGGGCAGGGAGACGTCCCCCACCACTCGCTCGCTGGAGTTTGCCTGCGCGTCCGGCCTCTCCAGCCGCGACCCCCGGGATCCCGTGGGATCACCGACGGAGCTCAATTCCGAGAGTATGGTGCCAGCGCCCGGGTTAATCTAGTCCTCTCTACTCGCTCCTTTTTCCCTCCTCCTCCTCTCCCTCCTCCCCTCCCTCGGGTCGGCTCTGCCTCTGGGTTCCCGGCGTGTGGGAGTACAACTCTGCCTCTCCAAGGAGAGCGGGGTTGTGGCCACTGAACAGAACTTGCCCATTGAAAGCAAACCCGGAACAGCTGGATAATGTCCACCCCGAGCCGATTCAAGAAGGACAAAGAGATCATAGCCGAGTATGAAAGTCAAGTCAAAGGTAAGGATGGGAGCGGCTGCTTTGCTCCTTTTGTGTGCCTTCTTGTCATTGTGCTCGTGGAGTTGCGTTTCTAACTTGGTGTCTGCGTTGGAGGAAGGTGGTGAGGGGACAGCTCGAGCCCTGTCTGAGCCACCCGGGCTTCCTACAAGCCAGTTCCCAGTTCCAATCCTAGTTCCGTCAAACCCACGGGGAGCTGGAAACCGGGTGACTTCCCCCAGCGAGCTGCCAGCCCGAATCTCAGGTGGGGAGAGAACTGACTTTAACTTAACCACCTTCAGCTGGTCTGAGCAACTTAATGGGAAGCAGGCAGCAGTGGGGGACCCTGTCCAGCTATTATTATCACCGTCTTGATTCTTTTTAAATGGTATGGTTGTCACTATGTAATTATTGTACAGAATCATTTTTATAAAGTCTATGAATACCAAGCGGTCCACAGCCTCATTGAGTGCAGGCTATTTCAGATATTTACACCGCTCACAATTTATTAGGGCGAGTTCCCCTTTTATTAAATAGCTCCCTAAAAGCCTGGCAGTTAAACGAAGCAGTGACTAGTGGAATCTGACTCCTCCTTTATAATGGGCCAGAATTCAGTGCCATCTTTCACACTCACATGGGAATATTGCTTTATCATTTGCTGGAAGCCACTTGCATGTAAAATGAAGGTTTAAATATTTGAGTAGTAGTTTTAGTCCGTTTACGTTGTCAACTAATGAAAGAAACCTAATTAAGGCTGATTAATTATTTTTACTTTCCATGCGTTGTGATTAAATATATATATATATATATATATATATTTAATATATATATATTCTCTCCATTACAAGTATTTGGTTTGGCTACTGAAGTGTTTCATAAACATATGTTAGTTGAATTTTTTTCTTTTCTCCTTTTTCCTGATGTCTCAGGAGTAGCTTTCCTGATTGAGACAATGGATGGAATGTTGGGGTCCCCGCTGTTCTTTGACACATTCAATGCAAAGTTTATAAAGATTGTTATGTATACACCTGTGTTTGTCTATGCACTGTCTTATGAAAGGGCTACAGAGAAAGGCATCACTGTACTTGCCTTGAGCAAGGGAGGAGCAGCCTGAGTGTTCTTTTGTGTGGTCAAGTTGTGAAAATGCCTGAGTCTGTGAGAGGACCTGGTGGAGAAATCCTGTATTATCCGGTGTGAATCCAGACCAATTCACTGTGGCCACAGCAAACACAATATGCAAGATAACTTAGGTTATCTTTAGGCTGACCCCTATAATTAAGTTCAACTAAACATTGTTCAGGAGACACAGATTTTTATCTGCCTGGAATTGTGATAATTTATACTTCCAGAAATGTGTTTCATTGCTATGGAACTTGTGTTAGCAGATAAGTAATTATTTCCTTAGAGCCAGGTAAACTTTCTAATGAGAGGAACCTTTCTTTTTTTAGTGAGTCCAACACAGCCTAAAACCTTTCATTCCAAGGCAGTACTCTTGTTCACAACCACCATTTCTCTGTGCAGTTTTTCCACATGGCTCTTTGTGGCAGGTCTTCAAGGGGTGGCGGTCTGTTTTTTCTGCTGCCTGGAGCACTAATTGGCAAATGCACTTCCAAATGCTGATTTCGTTATCTTTGCTCTGAGGTCATTTGCCTGAGATCAAGTTCCTTATTTGAAAATCAGCGAACTGGGATGCATTGCAATGTGTCTATCAAATTCAAACCAAAGAAAAATTATGTACATGGTGAAAATCATATTTAGAATTAAATCTGTCCCACAGAAAGTGACCTTCTTCCAATTTCCTTTAACCCTTCTCCCTTCACACACCCAGGAGTCCTAGGCTGCTTTAGGACTCTTCACTGCACCTGCCCTGCCCTGCCCTGTGTCTAGGCTTTACCTCCTCCTGCAATAAGCTACACATCCAGTGTCTAACCTAGATCACTACATCCATACACAAACGTGGGAATAAGGGAGTATCAGGGAGTCAGATCATATATGCATTAAATGGCACAAATTCACCTGGTACTTCTAGGCAAATCAGGAAGAGAGTGGGAGAAAAATAACAGGTAAATAGTGCATGTGGTCAGCTGTCTAATGCAGGGAGAATAGGCCCCTTGGTAAGGATAGCATGGGAGACAAGGTTCTCGTTTTTCTGTACGTTCGCAGAGTGCTAGTCTGTTATTTAAAAGTATGTGTTTTGGGGCTAGGTGCAGTGGGTCATGCTTGTAACTCCAGCATTTCGAGAGGCTGAGGCAAGCAGATTACTTGGGATCAGGAGTTCGAGACCAGCCTGGCCAATATTTTGGTCGAGAAACCCCATCTCTACCAAAAAATGCAAAAATTAGCTAGGTGTGGTGGCGTGTACTTGTGGCCCCAGTGTGCCTGTGGTTCCACTTGAATCCAGGAGGTGGAGGTCGCACTGTGCCAAGATCACATCACGGCACTCCAGTCTGGGTGACAGAGTGAGATTCTGTCAAATAAATGAATGAATAAATGAATGAATGAATTAACATGTGTTTGGAACAACTTATTTGTTAAATTACACCCAGTAACTTTATCTGATGATAAAAAAAATTTGTTTTATTGCTGAAGGAAAACCCAGCTTGTGGGACTCATTAAGACATAAGTCACTCATGCCTGTAATCCCAGCACTTTGGGAGGCTGAGGTGGGTAGATCACTTGAGACCAGGAGTTCAAGACCAGCCTGGCCAACATGGTGAAACCCTGTGTCTACTAGAAATATAAGCCGGACTGGTGGTGCATACCTATAGTCCCAGGTACTCTGGAGGCTGAGTCAGGAGAATTGCTTGAACTTGGGAAGCAGAAGTTGCAGTGAGCCAAGTTTGCACCACTGCACTCCAGCCTGGCTGACAGAGTGAGACTCTGTCCCAAGAAAAACACAATGAATAAACACACTTATTGGACTCCATAGGTGACTTAGTTGTGGGTGACTTTAAGAGTCCTTTTAATTATATGTATTTTTTTAACCTTCCAACCTAGAACATAACATTCTATTTTCCCTTCTCAGTCTCTCCCATTTTCTCTAATAACATCTCTATCTCAGACTTTTTTTTTTTTTTTTTTTGAGACGGAGTTTCGCTCTTGTTACCCAGGCTGGAGTGCAATGGCGCGATCTCGGCTCACAGCAACCTCTGCCTCCTGGGTTCAGGCAATTCTCCTGCCTCAGCCTCCTGAGTAGCTGGGATTACAGGCATGCACCACCGTGCCCAGCTAACTTTTTGTATTTTTGGTAGAGATGGGGTTTCACCATGTTGACCAGGATGGTCTCGAACTCCTGGTCTCAAGTGATCTACCCACCTTGGCCTCCCAAAGTGCTGGGATTACAGGCATGTGCCACCACACCCAGCTAATTTTGTATTTTTAGGAGAGATGGGGTTTCTCTACTAAACCCCATCTCTACTAAAGATGTTGGTCAGGCTGGTCTTGAACTCTGGCCCTCAGGTGATCCGCCCGGCCTCAGAAGTTTTGAGCTAATGTTTTGATCTAAAGGAATGACTTCAGATATGGAATTTTGTTTGTTTAGAAAGCATCTCCCTCTGTCACCCAGGCTGGAGTGCAGTGGTGTGATCTGGGCCTACTGCAACCTCTGCCTCCTGTGTTCAAGTGATTCTCCTGCCTCAGTCTCCAGAGTAGCTGGAATTAATTACCTGCACGTGCCAGCATGCCCAACTAATTTTTGTATTTTTAGTAAAGAAGGGTTTTCAACATGTTGAAACACATGTTGAAAGAACTCCTGACCTCAGGTGATCTGCCCACCTCAGTATCCCAAAATGCTGAGATTACAGGTGTGAACTGCCACATCTGGCCCAGATATGGAATTTTACCATTGTGGCTGCCTGCACAGGTTTTGGGAACAGACTTCATGGGGCTATTCTTAACTGTGAAAAGAACCATTCCTGGTGATAATTTATGATTTTATCACATATGATTTTATGTATAAGATCATAAATGTATCTAGTTACATGTATAATTTTGGGCAAGTCACTTAGCCTCTCCCTGGGTTTTTGGTTTTCTTATCTATAAGATAAAGAGTTCGGATTCTCTTCATCCTAAGTATCTTTTTTTTTTTTTTTCCGAGACAGTGTCTCACTCTGTCACCAAGGCTGGAGTGCAGTGGCACAATCTCTGCTCTCTGTAGCCTCCTGCCACCCGGGTTCAAGTGATTCTCATGCCTCAGCCTCCCAAGTAGCTGGGAATACAGGCATGCACCACCATGCCTGACTAATTTCTGTAATCCTAAGTGTCTTTGAATCTAACCGAAGATGTCATATCAGTTTATATTAATTGCTTCATAAAGTTTTCAAGCTTTCAAAATTTTCTCTTGGCTGCTCTGTTTTGGGGAGAATGATTTTGCTTTCACTTTTTTTCATAAGTTTACGGACACTGTGTATCAAATGAGTTATTGGATAATTAAAATATATACAATAAACAGTCCAGAAAAACAGTAATCAAAACCACATGCAGAGAAGTGTAGCACAGAATCATTAAGACAGAAAAGAATCAGGAATGATACAAGTGGTTAAACAATGGGTAGGTTTAAATCAGGGACAAAAGGCACCCCAAGCAACAATTTTAAAGAATGAATTGAACATTTCATGCCTCTTGGTCAAATTCTCAAAGACTTGGAATTAAGAGAAATAAATCCCTTATTTGAATAGGCCATTAAAAAGCAAGCATGTCTGGAAAAGTGTATGAAACTCAAACCAGTTGACTATGCAATTTGTTACCATCTCTGGCAAATAGCTTAGCAGTGGAAGGGATTGAACAATTGGCTAACAGAAGGTTTTGAGATTATCTGTGGACTTTAGTGATCTATGTAATTCTCCTTATATTCTGCAGCAAAAATATTGTGGAACGACACATATGGAAACAAAAAAGACTCAACAGATGGGTTTTATGAAGTGAAACTTATAGATGAGAGACTGTGTTTGTTTTTAATAATGTGTGTTGCTAGTTGGTAAAAATTGACAGTTATTATTTGTAGTATTTTCCTAGAGAGAGCATTG